AGGAGTCAGAATTCTAACCTAGATTTACCAACATATTTTTTTAGCACATATTCAATACTGTTTTGACAGAGGAAAATATTAAAATGCAGAAATCAATTACAGTATTTCTAATGTTTTTCCTCAATCCATTTTGCCAATCCTATTTTATATAATTCCAACAATGACTACCTTTAATTCTTTAATAGACATTTTCTAACCCACGAGATATCGATTCTCATCACAATTCAATGATTTTATGCTCTTCGTTGCATTAAAAGTAGGGGTGTCAAAGTGAACCAACCTGAGTCATACTGGTTGGTTCACTATGGGTTGAGCTGAAAATCGGCGAGCTTAACCCGACTCACTTTTTGGAAAGTCAGAAATTTTACAATTCGGCTCAACCCACCACGGGTTGGTAGGTTAGGTGGGTTTACTCACTAACCCATATTTTTTTAATTTTTTAAATAATATATATATATATATATATATATATATATATATATAATTGTATTGTAAAATATTAACACAGTGACATCCAAATCATTCAAATACTCTTAAACAACATTATAGTCTTAAAAAAAAAAACAAAGTATCATCCTGCTACATAAATAAAATTAGCAAATAACTATAAAATACAATTTGAGATATGTTAAGCTATTCATTTTGCAATTGGTGGAATTTGTTCTTCCTGTCCATGAACAACATTAGAATCATGTCCTGAAAAATCTAGAATAATTTCTTCTTCCTTTGTAACATCATCATTATCTTCATCTATAAAATAAAATATTAGAAAATTATTAAAAAGTATGATAACAAGAAAGTATTGAAAATAAATAAAAGTAAATTACCATTATTTTCAAAGTCATTTAACCAATTTTGGGTTAAAATAAGTGCTTGAAGATTGTCGGGAAGAAGACTAGACCAATACTTGTTGAGCACGTGACCCCAATACTAAATGCAGATTCACTAGCAACTATTATTATTGGTATGCTCAATACTTCACATGCCAATCTACAAAGATTTGAATAACATTCTTGACGATCCTTCCAATATCTTAAATCATCTAACTTTGGAAAATATTTTGGCTCAAGTGGTGTTTTAGACAAATACAAATCCAACTCAGACTTTCCAGTAATATTAACATTTTGACTCACATAATTGATATATTCCTATAACAATAAAATGAAAACATAATCAATTATTTAATATATATGTTGTTGTAACTTGTTTGATAGGAAAGTTAAAGAATCTTCTTTAACATTTGAAGAATAAACGTAATCCTACCATGAGTTTATAATTTAATGGGAGAAGAACGAAAATAAGTGCAGATTTATTAGGTAAAAAGATATTACATCTTTTATGATTCATGCCTCATTCTTATGATGACCTATTAACAATGTGGTATGCTATTCAAAAGTGGGACAACTATTTATGAAGAATCATTGATTGTTTGCAGGAACATAATTTGAAATTGAAACATGTAGACTTAGTATAAAGTTAAATGTGAGAGTTACTTTATGGTGTATGTAGGGGATTTTACAAGACAATGTTGGATAAAATTTAAAGAGAATTGAAGTCTTTGTGCTTTTGTTTCAAATCTCAATTAAATGTTCTAGAAGCTTTAGGTTTAGTGAAGACCAAAATTAGATTATTTTGTAATCAAGGTGGTTAGGATCTACCATTGCTAATTTGCTACCTCTGCCTATATAATAACTAACTCATGTAATTGTAATCAATCAATATCACCACATATTTCACCCCAATTGAAAATAAAAAGATTCAGTTATATATTCTTTTATGACCACTACTAGCTACTGATTATATACTTCATAAAAATTTAACCATTTTTTGAGAGTGACTATGTAGTTGTGTTAAATAGTTAGAAAAAAATTGTTCCTAGTAAATTTTTGTCTTATTTGATGCATATAACATTGTGTCTCGTGAAAGATAGTAGCAGAATATGTGTAGAAGAGGAGTATCTAGATATATATGTGTGTGTGTGAAATCATAGGGTAATAAAGTGTGTATAGTTCCTGTTCTCTCCAATCATGTCGTATAATTTTGCTTGTTTGTTTTTGGTGAATAGTAGTATGGATGAATAGACCCTTTAGGTTTTTAGTATATTTTTCTTGGCCCAAACTAGTGGTTCCAACTTTCTTGCTTCCTTATACTTTTTGTTACATGCTTAACATGATAAATGCTTTTTGTTTGGTTGAAATAGTGGTTAAAATCTTATTTTAGGACTTGATATAGTACAACAAACTATGGATAAGGTTGAGAAGATCCAAGAGAAAATGAGAGTAGACAAAAGACTTATGTCGACGAGATGAGGAAAGGCTTAGCGTTCGAAGTAAGAGATAATGTATGCTTGAAAATTACTCCATGGACAAGGGTTGGTAGATCTGTAAAGTCTAAAAAGCTTACACCTCGTATTGATTGGTCTTTATCAAATCCTAAAAAGAGTAAGTGAAATGGCTTATCAAGTTATTTGAACTCTTAATTTACCAAATTTTCATTATGTTTTTCATGCGTCAACTATGTTAATGTGATTGTCGGATAATGTTTAAGTAAAGAAGAACTTAACTTTTGAGACCAATACCAATTAGAATTGAAGATTTGAATGGTTAAATACTCAGTGGAAAGAAAAATCTGTTAGTTAAGGTTGTTTGAAGAGGAGGAATTACTTTTGACAATGCTATGTGGGAGCTTGAGAACAAGATGAAGGAGGATTACCCTAAGTTACCCGATGCAAGTAAAAATTTGGGGGCAAATTTTCTCTCAGAGGGAGAGAATTGTCATGTCCCCTTTTTTATAAAACAAAAAAAAAGTAATATAATTATTTATTTGGCTTAATTAAATTCTTTAATTAAGCTTAAGTAATAAAATAGATGTTTGTTTTTATAAATGATAAAATAAGTTGGGTTGTTAGAAAAAGATAAAAAGATAATGTTAGAAAAATAAAATTAGAAAGGTAAAGCTAAAAGATAAAAAATAAAAAATAATAGTACTTCATCTGTAAAGACCCAACTCCACTTATTAGTTTATAAATAGCTGTTAGGTCTTTTCCATGTCATTCTAAAATTGTATAGTTTTCGGCGTTGGGAGAAACATTAAAAGGGACAAGACAAGACGTGAATTGTTTGGAGAACAACTTTTAGATTGTAGATTTGCATCTCAAATTTGTATATCATCATTTGAGGTAAGAGGAGTGGATAATGTCTCATGTATGAATACTTATAAAAATTATGGGTAGAAAGAAAACGTGTCAGCCCTCAAAAGGATTTTGGTACGTTATGTTATAGTGGATTAATTTTAATGTTATAAATTAATATTATCTAAATAAAATTCAATCGTTGATTTTTATAGTTTTTAAGACCTCTTAAGGTCCTATTTATATAAATCAATCGGGGTCTACAGGAATCCTTTAACTCTCATAAATTATAGTTTAATTACTAATTTGTATTGTTTCGAGGATTTTGCGATCCTAAGAACTTTGTGTTGATAGGGATTAATCAATCCTAAACAGTATCAGATTCTTAAGGTGTTTTTCTCAAATCTTTCATTTGTTTGTCTCAAGCAAACACAAAATTGCTGCGAAAAATGATATATGAACTAATGAATAACTCGACATTGTAAATTAAAACTGTACCCTTGTGATGCAACTTGGGAGATTTTACATTGCACAAGAGTTTATTGTAATTTTATATATTCAGTGAATGAACATGTGAATCTTGAAAACTGGTGGGAATTTAGTACATTATTATTATACCCAAAACTCAGATGTCATAAATGAATCTGCTTTCTGATGTTGATGGGTTGTGACTATTCAACCCAATTGAAAAAAAAAATGCATTATGAAAAGTAAATGATTATGTTCTTGCTTATTACTATTTTATATAGTTAGATTGGATTTCTTTGGTCTGCTCTGATTTCATAGTTTAGAAGCTTATTGTTATTTGATCAAATGACATTACATCGCTGAAGGAAGTAATTTATTATGATGTTATGTTTCAATTAATATTTTATGGATTTGGAAGTTCATGGAGGATTATAATTTCTAAAAAATCGTAATTCTGTTAGCCAAAGAATTAACTTTCATGAGTATACATATTTGGAGGTTCTTTTTTCCGCATGAAGTCTCCTCTTTATTTGCAAAACATACCTTATTCTTAGTTGAACCTGTCTCAACCTTGTTAGTATTATGATGCTTGATTTAGTCCCACATCGATTAGGATTGTGTGATTTAGTCTCACATCGATTAGGATTGTGAGATGAGGTTCTCTATTTTGTTATATAAGCAACCCTATGTAAAGTTTGAGATACACACAAAAATAAAAATTACTTCCTAGTGTAGTCGTGGACGTAGGCATACATATTTTAGCCGAACCACGTTAAAATTCTTGTGTCGTTTATTTTTCTCTCCTTCATTCTTTCTTTTATTATTGTCTTGTTCCTAACAATTGGTATCAGAGCCAAGGTCACGAGTTCGATTCCTGGTGGGCAATTGTTGAGGGGGAGATTGTTGCAGGTTGCACAATTGTCCCGTGGCAGAGGCCGGGTGGGCCAAGTCACAATCCAAGAGTGGGATACCTTGTAGGACAATTGCTGAGGGGGAGATTGTTGCAGGTAGCATCAATTGTCCTGTGACGAAGGTCAGGTGGGCCGAGTCACAATTGAATCGTGGCGCTTGGGCTGTTAAAGTAAAAAGAGTTGCGCTCTGATAAACTTTCAATTTAGGACAGGCGACAGTGTGTTTAATTTCTCTTCAAACGTTTATGCCAGGGTCGCATGTAACTTATGTTAATTCTTCAGTTGTCTGTGACTATATCTTCTTTAACCAGGATGATTTAAAAAAATATTTGTTCCTTTATTTTAATTTTGGGATGTTAGAGCTGAAACATCAAAGTAAGCATGCCAAGTTCACATGGTTTTTCTGCCTTTCCACTCTGTCCAGCAAATATTATAGTGCAGTTGCTTCTCATAATGGCTATTAACTAGCGTATTTTCCAGGTTACTCTCATATGACATGGAAAGAACGCAAGAAGATTGAAAATAGGAATATTGTTTCACTTGGTGGGAAGGTGAGGAATATTTTTTATATTCTATTTTGATCATGTGCCAATGAAAATACCATTACAAGGATGCTCGGGTAGCAAAATTCTTAAAGAGTTTATTATTTCCTCATATATAGGCCCCCAAGAATCAGATATTACCTTTAAGCGTGGCACGACCGATGATGAAGAAACAGAAGGAGAGGGAGCAGAAAATGCTCCAAGAGGTAATTAATTTATATCATTCCCCACTTTTATCCCCTATTATGATTTTTTTTGTCTCTTACTGACCATTTATGTGTGTCATGTACCACTTTCTGGTTTTAGCGTTTGATTCTTGGACAATTGGGAGGAAAGCTCGGTGGTAGCAGTAAAAGATCAGCTGGGAAGCACAAGCCAGAAAACAAGGGTCTGAAGTCAAGTGAAGGTCATTTTAGAAATGGCATACTCAATGTGAAGCATTTGTTAAATTTGGCACCATCAAGAGACCATCAAACTGGCACCAATATGTCCAATACATGGAAAGGGAAAGGTGGTAAGAAGAGACAGGGTAAAAAGGGTGCCGGTAAGAAGCACCGTTGAGTACATCCTTGTGCGTGAGGTGTTTTAGGAATACTGAGGAGTCATTTTTTAATTTGTATGACCTTTATAAACCTAACATGATCCTGGGGGTAAACCTTTGACAGAGTAAAATAGAAAAGAATAAAACAGAACAGAGTGCAGCATGACTATAATGTCTTGCGTATTATATTAATTTAAAACTGAACAAGACCTTGTGTCTTGTTTTGCATTTTTGTGCTTATGATACTGATAGCGAACTATATATATAGATATAGATAACTGCCCCGTTTATACTGTAATAGAATATACAGTGTACTTTTGATTCTATATTAATGTTTGTTGTACTTTTAGTTCATGTAAAAATTCTTAACCCTTTCGTAAAATGAATCTTTTGACGTTAGTTTTGAATTTATAAAAATGTACTTAATAAATTATTAAAAAAAAAAACACTTTAGGGGATTGATTAAGAATTCTGATTTGACCAGAGTTTTATTATTTTCAACATACTGAAGGTAATGCTTGTACTGAGTGGTTTATTAAATATGATGTCAAGCGTAAAGACGTTCTCTTCCATTGGATGTACTTTTTCTTCTCATTTAATAGCTACATTTTCTCATTTTAATGGAAACATTGTAAATTAGATTTTAACGTGTCAAAAACTTGTAAAGAATGAAGTGAAGCAAATGAAACATATGCATAAATGTTTAGTTACGAGAATAGAAAGTTAAAATTAAAATTAAAAAAAAAAAACATTTCAAATACCAGAAGTGCTTGAAACCATATGTATATATGGATTAGCATCATATTGTACGCTTAATTTTGTAGGATTGTGGGCAATATTGTGTAGATCTAGTGTACATCAAATTGCATGGACACATGTAATTGATAGTGTCTTTTGCCAATTAATCATTCCCCATTTGAATGTCAATCTAAGCATCGACAAGTGATGACAACTTTATTACTGCATGTTCAACTATTATCTGTCATGGAGATTTTCTCAATTAGTTAGATTGAAATATCTTCACTTGTTTTCACAAATTTGTGATGTGAAAATACAAATATCTTTTCACTTAACGTATTTGAATAATTCTTTATAATAAACACGAAGTTACAGAAAAAAAAATTAGTTTCATCTTTAACTTTGAAAGATTGAATAGTGAATATTTTATTAATTATCTGAAAATATATTATCAGAGTTTAATATATGTATTTATAACATATTATATATATATATATATATATATTATTTATATTTTTTACAATCACAAAAGTTTAGTTAAGTGGTTATTAAAATATTAAAGATAAAAATTAAAATATTAACTAGAAAAACGATTAATATTGATAATATAATCATAAAATAATTATATAAAAAAGGTAAAATCGCCGTCTGTGGGGATCGAACCCACGACCACGTGGTTAAAAGCCACGCGCTCTACCGCTGAGCTAAGACGGCTTTGATGGTGATTATGGGAATAGTAAGATATAAGTTAGGCAATAATCTCTATATTTATCGTCCCTATCCTCCAAAAAGCTATTGTAACTCTGTTTGATCATTTTTCATTTAGGTTTTAACTATTGCATCCGATTCACTTGGGATTATTTGGTGCAGCACAAATCTGAAATTTACTTTAGTATTCATGACTTTTATCCTTTGTAGGAACTAATTTTGCCAAGCAACCCAACTGGGCGGCTCTATGGGACAAATGAGAAATGAAAACAATTGATCATCCACCAAACAAAATTCAGATCAAATTAAAAAAAAGTTAAAGAGGAAGAAGATGTACAACGGCCAGGAAAAGGAAGGAGTGGGGGAATCGAGTAAATGATAAAGCATTTGAAGCACAATAAGAACATGTACTTGCAGTTCATGAATCAACACTATTTTAACCAATTGACTTATAATATTATTCTATTTCTAATTGATATAATATTTATACATTATATAATAGTTTAAAGCAAACACATCTAGTCTACCATCCATAGGTAAAATTTGAAAAAATGAGAAAGTAAAAAAGAAAAGGAAAAAAAAGATTGATATATTGACAATCCTTCTAACCTTAAATAATAATATAATAATAAATAAATTTGTATATTATTATATTTGGTTGTTAAATGGATGTTTAAAAAAATATGAATGTCAAAACATCATTATTTTTAATAGAAAAAATGAGATTATTTAATTAAATAAAAATTATAAAAATAAACAAAAAATTATAAATTTATGTGATTGATTTAAAACATGAAATGAAATATTATGTATTTTTTCACATAATTAAAATAACAAACATATTTATAATTATCATAGTTATTAGTAATTCATTAATTTTACATATATTAAAATCAATTGTTAAATTATTTTGAAGCAACGGACAAAAATGAATATAACCTATTTATTTTAATTATTTGAAATTACTTTTACACATTTATTCATTGAAAATGTCTGAAGCAACGCCAACAATAAATAAATAAATAAATAAATAAATAAATAAATATATATATATATATATATATATATATATATATATATATATATATATATATATATATATATATATAAACTTTGGTATATATCAGCAATAAGAAACGAAAATATAAGACTTTAGACATTAATTCAGACTTTCGTATTCAAAATTATTTCTCAATGGTAACAATGTTACACTCTCGAGATCTTTATGACAGGACTCAACACTCAAATGTCAAGTTCACGTTTGAATTAGTCTCCAATGATATGCAAATTTGAGGTCAGGAATGGAGCTCAAGTTGGATCGCTAGCTTCCTCAGTCACCATCCATATATGCAGTCATGTGATTCATCAGTATAATCAAACTTGTTGAAGCTTGACCTCAAAGGTAGCCAAATTCCACACACTTCATTCCATGTTCATAAAACCACGTGAAATATACTCACAGAGGGCATAATGTCCTTGGTTATCTATATAAATTGTTGTGGACGTAACTTCACATCACAATTCAAACAATTCAACATCTTTGTGAAATGAAGCACACAAATATACTCACATAGTAAACAAGAGCAAAAATGTTGATTTCTTTAGATGCTTTGGCAATGCCAGGGGCAAGTAATGTCCAATTGGCCATGGATATTGAAGAATGAGAGCTCAGAGATTCTGAGCAGAATCCACCATCCCATTTGCTGGCTGAAGATTACTACAACGAAGAACATTTTGTCACCTTCACAAATCATCAAGAACAGCTCGATAAGTCTAGGGAAACGAGGAAAAGAAAATGCATGAGGTCCATAAAATCAAAGTTGCGAGCACTTGTAACAGCATGCATGTGCATGTTCATGATGAGTAGTGATGCATGCTCTTATGGTTAACGTCCAAGCAGGAAGAAGCATTAAAAATTTCTAAATTAAGTTGTTGAAAAAAAATGTGACTAGGTCTTTCAAATGCAAATAAAGAAGTGGAACCAGAAATGACCAATAGAATCAATCTACAACTGCTTGATTGGATTATGTTATTAATGATGTCCTTGAATTCACGGGTAGAAAGACAAGTTCAATTGGCGCTAAAATTTGGGTCAAGTATATATATGATACATATTTAAACGTGTTAGGGTCATTATTTATTAAGCCAAATAATAAAGTGATCTGACTAAATTAAAAAGGTTTGGCTAAAGACATATGTCATGAAAATAAAATTGTGTAAAGACCATAGAACAATTTCTAATTTGATGAGGGGTCAAATTGAAAATACTAAAACTTAAGTAATTAACCTAATTTTGGTTATTTTAAGGAGTCATGGTCCCCTTCTGGGAGCACGTAGACAGAACGTAGTTACAGTCCCGTTCTTTTCTTTCTATCCTCATCAAGAGAGAAAATCAAGAAGGAAATAAAGGTGCTCTTCAGGTGGAAGACCATAAGATCAATAGTGCTCTAAAAGGGACATCATCATTATGGCTAATTCAGGTACGCTTTCGCATTTAGTTTACAACATGTTTATGAGTATGAGATTACTTTATATTTGATCATTAGATTGAATATCATATTTAATTGTCAGTTTACCTAACATTTGGTATCAGAGCAACTCATACTTAATTCATGTTTGTCTTTGGAAATTACATTTAACAAAATTCAGATTCTGGCTAATTAAGAACCCTAGTTGGAGAATAATCTTCAAATTTTATGAACCCTACATTCAAATTTGGGGTAAAATCCCCAATTTTAAAACATAATTTCGAATTTGAGGGTGAAACCCCTAAACTGCTTCTGCTCCTTCATCTTCATTGGCTAATTCAGTCGCGGGGCTGCTCGCGACGGAAAGGGGAAGCGTTGGAGAGGTTTGAACAGTGGTGGCTTAGGCCTCTAGCTAATTCAGGGTCATGGCTTCTCACGATGGCTTCCAAATTAGCGTCGCCGATGAAGGTTCAGGCAGGTCGGGTTCGGACCTTGAAGGAAGGTTCACGCGGTGAAGCGGGTTCGGGTCTCGTTGTGTACTGGATGTTCAGAGATCAACGGGTGAGAGATAATTGGGCTTTGATCCACGCCGTTGCCGAGGCCAATAATGCCAACGTTCCCGTTGCCGTTGTTTTCAATCTCTTCCACACCTTTCTCGGCGCCAAATCCTGTCATTTAGGTTTCATGCTCAGAGGCTTGCGCCAATTGTGCCACCGTATGCCAAATACTCTTCAAATTCCCTTTTTCTTGCTCCAGCTTTTGTTGAGTGAGACCCTTGTCTAAACAAGGTATTTACAAATAGGGGTTAGGGAAAATTGAAAAATGCCTCTGGCCCTTCCCGAGTAATTGTTTTACAAATTGTAGTGGTGGTCTCCGCGCCATATATTTTTTTTATATAAATAAATAATCAAAATTTGGTTTTGTTATATAATATTCAAATTTATGGTAGTTTTATATTTTTTTTGTGAGCAAATTGAGTCAAGAAGTTACCAAAGTAACATTTCTTGAATTGGGTAGTTACGTGAAAAATATTGAATATTAATGTTTGTGTATATTCATGCGAGTATTAGTCGGTCCAAAGGAAGATTAATATTTGGCCGAATTGCATACACACTTGTAATGATAAACATGTGATAATTATAAGGATTTGCTTTGTCGATGATAAATCAATCCAAAAGCTGGTTTGTTGTTGGACGTGCTTTATTGTCAATGTTTGATCATTACAACAAGATATCTCTAACGAGTTAATATTATTGTCCAAAGACTTGATATTGATGGTGCATTGGGTGTCTTGAGATGGGTTAAACCATTATTTGAATATATATTTATAATTATTTATTTTATAATGTGAGCATAATTAGTTTATTTCTTTTGTTCTAATCCAACTACAATTGCTTCTGTATCTGCCAATTTGAATTATGTTCCGATCCTCAAAAGTATGTTTCCTATTTTGGTCTGTTCTTAAGTCAATTTAGCGTCAGTACCTAGTAACACTTGGTGGTTAGACTCGGGTGCAACTACTAACATCGGTGTTTCTATGAAGGGTTGCTTAAGCTACCGAAAGTCAATTGATTCTGAAAGATGAATATATGTTGGAGATGGTAAATCGGTAGAGGTGGAAGTTATAGGGCATTTTAAATTGTTATTGAGTACTGGTTTTTATTTGGATTTGAAAGACACTTTTGTTGTGCCGTCATTTAGACGAAATTTAGTTTCAGTTTCTTATCTGGACAAATTAGGTTATTTGTGTTCATTTGGAAACAATAAGTTCAGTTTGTCTTTTAATTCATATATTGTTGGAACTGGTTCACTTTTGCCTTATGATAATCTGTATTTACTTGATACTGTGACAACCTATAATGAAACCCTTAATACAGAATCACGGGGTACTAAACGTAAAATTAGTGATACTCACTCAGGAGCATTATGGCACAGGCGATTAGGTCATATCTCTAAAACTAGAATTGAACGACTTGTGTCAACTGGAATCTTAGAGTCCATTGACTTCACAAACTTTGATGTTTGTGTTGAATGCATTAAGGGCAAACAGACCAAAGCGAAGAGATTATGTGCATATAGAGCTACAGACGTCTTAGAGTTGATACATACGGATATTTGTTGGCCATTTCCTACACCTTCGTGGAATGGTCAACAATACTTCATATCATTCATAGACGATTACTCACGATATGCATACTTATTCCTTATACATGAAAAGTCACAATCTCTAGACGTGTTCAAAACATTTAAAGCTGAAGCTGAAAATCAACTCAATAAAAGAATTAAGTTTGTCAGATCTGATCGTGGTGGTGAGTACTATGGCAGATTTGACGGGTCAGGTGAACAGCGTCCAGGACCTTTTGTCAGGTACCTAGAGGAGTGTGGAATTGTCCCACAGTATACCATGTCGGGATCACCTAGTATGAATGGTGTAGCTGAAAGACGAAACCAGACTCTTAAAGATATGGTCAGGAGTATGATTTGTCATTCCATCTTACCGGAGTCACTCTGGGGAGAGGCACTAAAGACGGCAATTTATATTCTAAATAGAGTACCAACTAAAGCAGCTACCAAAACACCTTATGAGCTTTGGACTGGGCGATAACCTAGTCTGAAGCATTTCCATGTGTGGGGATGTCCAGCTGAGGCAAGGCCTTATAAGCCAAATGAAAAGAAATTGGACTCCCGAACAGTAAGTAGTTATTTTATTGATTATGCTGAAAGATCCAGGGGATATAAATTTTATGATCCCACATTAAAGACAATTTTTGAGACGAGAACTGCTACGTTCTTTGAGGATATTGAGTTTGGGGGGAAGAATAAAATCAAGAACTTTGTCTTGGAGGAAGAATCGGTAACAATTCCAGAACCGATTCAAACAGTTACCTTTGATAAAGTAAGTTCGGAACCTCCACAAGGCATTGTTAATGAACCCCTTACTCAAGATGATTTGGTTGTTCATGAAGAACAAACTCAAGATCCTCAAGAACCTGTGCATCATGAGCCAATAACTTTGCAGAGATCCACTAGAGAAAGAAGAAGTGCTATTTCGGATGATTACATGGTATTTCTTCAGGAACATGAGGAAAACAATGGTATGATGGAAGATGACCCAGTTAACTTCCGTCAAGCCATGCAAGGTTCTAACTATGAAAAGTGGATTGAAGCAATGAAGGAGGAGTATAAGTCCATGCAAGACAACAAGGTTTGGAAATTTGTCCCATTACCAGAAGGTATGAGACCCATTGGTTGCAAGTGGATATTTAAGACCAAACGGGATTCTAAAGGTAATGTGGAAAGGTATAAGGCCCGTCTGGTAGCTAAGGGCTATACCCAAAAGGAAGGGATTGACTTTAAAGAGACTTTCTCTCCAGTTTCATCGAAAGACTCTTTTAGGACAAGCATGGCTCTTGTAGCACATTATGATTTGGAGCTTCATCAAATGGATGTCAAGACGGCGTTTCTCAATGACAACATTGATGAGACGATTTATATGGTACAACCAGAAAATTTTGTGCAGGGAGATTCAAAGAATATGATTTGCAAACTGACAAAATCCATTTATGGACTAAAGCAAGCATCTCGTCAATGGTACTATAAATTTCATCAAGTAATTCTCTCATTTGGCTTCGAGATGAATATTGTTGATGATTGTGTATATCACAAGTTTAAGGGGAGTAAGTATATTTTCCTGATCTTGTATGTTGATGACATTCCACTTGCCACTAATGATATAGGCATATTGCACGAAACCAAGAAATTTTTATCAAAGAATTTCGAAATGAAAGATCTTGGTGATGCGTCTTTTGTATTAGGAATTCAGATACACCGAGATCGATGTCGGGGTATTTTAGGATTATCACAAAGGAACTATATCGAAAAAAATTCTTAAAAGGTTTGGCATGCATGAATGTAAATCCGGGGATACTCCAGTTGCTAAGGGAGACAAGTTTAGTCTCAATCAGTGCCCAAAGGGGAATTTGGAAATTGAGGAAATGCAAAAGATTCACTATGCATCAGCTGTAGGGAGTTTGATGTACGCCCAAATATGTACGCGTCCGGACATAGCATACATAGTTGGAGTTCTAGGCGAGATATTTAAGCAATCCAGGAATGGACCATTGGAAAGCGGCAAAAGGGTCATGAGATATTTAAAGAGAACAAAAGATTACATGCTCACATACGGGAGGTCGGACCGGTTGGAGATCGCTGGGTTTTCCGACTCGGACTTTGCGAGGATGTCAAGATAGTTTGAAATCCACTTCAGGTTACATTTTCATGTTAGCAGGTGGTGCGGTTTCTTAGCGCAGTGTCAAGCAAACCCTTACAACTTCATCCACTATGGCAGCAGAATTTGTAGCATGCTATGAGGCGTCGAATTATGGAATATGGCTGAGAAATTTTGTCACAGGGCTGCAAAT